CCAGCGAGATGGACACGCTGGGGGGCACTGGGAGGGACGGGGGAGACACTGGGCTCAGCTGGGGGGCACTGGGAGGGAGGGGAGAGGGCTTGGAGGACATTGGGAGGGATTGGGATGGCAGTGGGAGGGACTGGGATGGCAGTGGGAGGGAGTGGGAATAGAGTGGGGTAGAAGGGTCTGGGCTGGGGGGGCACTGGGGAGAGAGTTGGGAGATGTGGGAGTGAAGTGAGAACGACTGGGAATGGAGTGAGAGGGTCTGGGAGTGGAGTGAGACGGACTGGGAAGGACTGGGAGTGACTGGTGTGGCCTGGGAAGGAAGCGCTCGGGCCTGGGAGGCTGAGTGGTGGTGAGGGAAGTGTTTGCTTTGGGTCTGCCTGGCAACTGGAGCGTCATCAGACACACGCGCTGGGATTGGCTGAGGGGCGGGAGCTCGGTGGCATCGACGCGTGGAGATGCGGGGGGGCACTGGGAGAGACTGGGATGGACTGGGATGGACTCAAAAAAACTGGAATGGACTAGGAGAGAGTAGGGGGCATTGAAAGGACTGGGAGAGACTGGGATGAACTGGGGGGTACTTGGACTTGGTAAAAGGCCACGGGATGGGCCCAGGGAGGGCTGAGGGGTCTGGGGTGATTCCCAGGGAGGGTTTGAGGGGCTCCAGGGCATTCCCAGGGCAGGGGCCGAGGGGACCCGCTCTGCCCCACGCTCACCTCTGCGGTTCACCAGGAACGGGCTGTCGTACCAGTCCCGGCAGAACGTGTCCACCTGAGACCGTCTGTACTCCATCTCTTCTGGGTTCCTGTTCCAGCACCTGGCCTGGATCTCCCCATCCGGGGTGTCCCCCACGTAGACCCCCACATCACTGTCGAAGTGCACAAACTGCTCCCGGTTGTAGATGTACCTGCTCACGTACCTCACCCGCTCGGTGCCGTTGATGAAGTAACACTCGTGCTTTACCATCTCCTGGAACACCCCTGTGTGTGCAGGACACGGGTCAGGGGGTGCCCCGTCCCCCCCCATCATCCCCCAGCCCCCCACAGCAGGGTGGCAGCTCAGGGGGCCACCCTGGACCCCCATTTCCCACCCCCCTCTGCCCCACGGATGCCCCAGCACCGGCTCTTGGCTGGGGGGAACCCCCCATCAGCCCCCCGGGGATGGACAGGGGGGTTGGGGACCCCCCCAATGCCGATCCGATCCCCCCAGAGCCCCAGGGAACCGCTCCAGGGATCAAGGGACACCCAGGGACCCCCACGGCACCCCTCTGCCTGCTCTCCCACTTCCCCTTTCCCCCCTCTCCCACCCCTTTCCCACCGGCCCCACAATCCCCAGACCCCCC